AATGACCACAATGGCCTGAGCTGAGCCGATCCAAAAGCAAGAGACTCTTCTGGGTCTCCTGCATGTGTGTAGGACCTTTAAGGGTTTGGGCCATCCTGTTTTCTCAGGCCATAAGCAGAGAACTGGATCAGAAGTGGAACAGCTGGGACATAAACCAGTACCCATATGGGATGCCGGTGCCTCAAGCAGAAGCTTAACTTACTAAGCTGTAGCTCTGACTCCAGATGATTTTAGTTTAATCTTGGTTCCACAACTTTCTAGATACTTGACTGTGGCTTAACCAGATTGTATGTCTGGGTCCTAGTTTCTTTGTCTGCGGAGTGCTGCTGTGCAGCCACCCTGAGCTTGCAGTTGTGGTCTAATTGACTGAGAGCCTCACCGGATGCTCTGGTAACCATCACTGGGCTTGCACAGCAGGTGCACTTGCCCTGGGCTGTTCCCAGGCGCTGACTGAGCAAGACAAGGATCGCATGGTGAGGGTTGCTGTAGGATTGTTCCAGGGAGGCACAGAACTCCTCTGATGGCCACTTCAGCTCAGGAACTCCTTGACAACCTTCCAGGACCTTCCTTACGCTGCTCACATGCTCACACACTTGCCTCACCGTTCCTCCACTCTCCACTGCTGGTCAGACTGAGCTAGCATCTTCTGGCTGCTCTAGCCTCCCTTGTGTCCTCTCATTTTTCTCAAATACACATTTGTCCTGATGAAAATCCCTACCCATTTGAAAAAGTATTTTGTTGAAATACAGTATTTGTACCAATAAGTGCACATAAGGAGACAGATAAATGAGTGTTTTGTCTTCTGATCATGTGCATTATCAACACTCAAATTAAGAACAACACACCATTAGTACCTCAAGAGTCCTCTTCATTTCACTCTCTTCTTTTTATGTGGAAAGAAAGAATATACTGTCATTTACAAGTATGATTCAGTGAATTGATATTTGTAAGTATACACCAAATGAGATGACAGCCACACACTTCTTATGTTTTAGATGCTTACAACCACAAATAAGAGAAAGCGTGATATTTATCTTTTTGGGTCTGGCTTATTTACTTAGGATAATGACGTCATCTCCAAGTTGCAAATGTTAGGATCCCATCCTTTTTAATGACCGAGTAGTATTCCATCATGTATATATACAACATTTTTTCATGCAGTCATCAGGTGGTGGATGTTTAGGTTGATTCCATATCTTAGTTATTATGAACTGAGGCAGGTAGTTCTTTATATGCTGATTTCATTTCCTTTGGATACATTCCCAGGAGTGGGAGAGTTGTGTCATATGGAAGATATATTTTTAGTTTTTCAGAGGAATCTTCATGCTGTTTCCCATAGCAATTGTGGCAATTTGCATTCTCACGAACATTGTATCAGGGTCCCTCTTTCTCCACATCCTTGCACATTTGTTAAAATCCCTACACATTCAGTCTTGGCATCTGTTTCTGGAAGGCTTTGCTTCACATAACATGAGAAGACCTTGTGGTGAGGACCAAATGCAATGATGTCAGCAAGGTGGCAGAGTGACATGTGTGGGCGGGTACTCAGGAACTCCGTCACCACCATCACATCACCGTCGCCTGCCTCGTGCTTTTAGTTTGCTGGCATCAGGTGCAGAATCCTCTGGTGGCTCATCCCAGGGCAGCAGTTTTGTGCCAGAGCGAGAGCAACTGTGGTTTCTCAGAGGAAGAGATGGGTCCATTCAAACTCCCTTTGAAAATGGATCCAGCTTAAGGAAAAAACCACACTCCAAATTCTTTTCCAGTCATTGAAATGCACGGTCCCATTTGTCACAGCAGGCAACTTCATTTTTAGTCAGGCACACAAAACATTTTGTAGCAATCTGAGGTCCTGGCCAATCTTCCTGATGTGTGCAAATACACCTCAGCCAGGAAAGCAGGGAGGCTCACGCTCTGTGCCTGGGGTCTTTGTAGGGGCAATGATTCATATTTCATAGATAAATAAACAATGTCAGAGTCACCCAGTTTCTAATGGGTTGGGAACAGAAACTGCTGTTTTGTTATAGTGCTTTAGAAGTTCAGGAATTGGTGGATTCCTTTCACACTGCTTTTGGGGACAGTCTTTTAGGAAGGCGGCAGCAAGACCTGGCCTGAATGTACCTTTCCCAAGTCTTGTTCTGCTGGAACCACACTCGACGCAGCTCAGTGAAGGAAACCCAGCTCCAACTGGCCTCCATTCCCCAGAGCACTGCTTCTCTCCTGCTTGGACTCTATCTAATGCTAGATCCATTGTGGGCTGTCCTTCAGGAGACAGTCAAACTCCAAAGCTGGAAGGGATCAGGACCTATTCTCACCCCACCACAAGTCACTTATGCCAAGTCAGTGTTAAATAAATGCATCTTATTGAGGGTGGTGTTGCTTCTGATAGGGCATTTGTGTGTACTCTGAAGGGTTTATCAACAACAGCAGCAGAAACCAAACGTGCTTGATGCCAGGAACTATGCTAGGAAGTGGCGAGCCAGTGATGGAAAGGTGAACTATGTGCTTCCAAGAAGTTCACAGACCCGCTGGGGGTGACCAGCATGCCGAGTCTACTGGGAGGGTAAAGGAGGACTTCACAAAGGAGGCAGCTCCAGGTTGAGACTGAAGAGAGTGAAGGTGGAACTTGTGCCTGCCTTCATGGAGCTTTCCGTCCAGTGAGTGACATAGATACAGGCTCTCAGCACCCCTGTGAGTGCTAGGCAAGGCTGTATGAGTGACAGATGGCCACAAAGTTGGTGACTTAAAACTGTGTAAGTTGATTGTCTTGTGATTCTGGAGGTCTGAAGCTGAAAATCAGGGTCAGTGGGCCAGAAGCTAAGCGACCATAGGGTAGGTTCCTCCCAGAAACTCTAAGAGAGAAACAGTCTCTTGCCTGTTCCAGTTACCTCGTTCTTGTGTCTGTGTTACCTCAACCTCATCTTCTTTCCCAGCTTCTTCTCTCTGACCCATCTGTCTCTTTGTTCTAAGGACCCCCGAGAGTGTATTGGGCTCACTCACAATCTGGGATAAGCTTTCTACTTTACGGTCCTTAGTCACATCTGCAGAATCCCCTTTGCCATGCAAGGAAACACATTCATGGTTCCTGGGGATTGGGATGCAGGTGTCTTTGGAGACCGCTAGTTTGCCAACCAAAAAGGAGGCGGGGTGAAGGAAAAGAAGTGCTTCCAGAAGTAAAATTTAGCCCATGACTTACGTGTAGGGCAGGAGCTGTGTAGAAGTGAAACAGGGAGGTTATTTAGGACCTGTAAGCTTGGTTCAGTTTGCAGGTGAGGGTGGCCTGAAAGATGAGGCTGAAGCTTGTGGGCAGGGGAAAGACATAAGGGGTTGGGCCAGGAGGATTTAGAATGAATCCGTTATGGGATCAGGGTTGAAGGAAAGCCACCCTTGTCAAGGTTCACTTTCTCCATGTCAGTCAAGACAAACAGGAACCTGAATGTAGCATCACTAGGGAAGTTTAACAGGAGCTCATTCCATTTCACAGATGGTTCCATTAGAGAGCCCTGAGTATTTTGTGTTCATGTAAGTCTGACGGAAATGTCACATTGAATTATTGCACTGGACAGCATGCTATCCAGGGAGAGGCTGATGTAAGGCCTGGTTTCCAAAGGGAAAAGCAGATTTCCAAAGGAGGAGAGGCAGATGTTTCCCAATGCAGATTATTTTCAGGGATCACCCTGATGGCCAGGGATTATTAGGATTGCCAGTGTTTTGAACAAGGAGAGACACGTCTACTTTTGAACTTGCTTTGAGTGATTTAACCACCTCTGGAGAGGGATTGGTTGATCCACAGAAGTGCTTAGGTTTGCCAATTCATAGCGCCTTATTTCCATCCACAGGCAGGCTGCAGCATGCGGAGCCCATTGTAAGAATGTGAATACTTCAAGGGAGCGCAGGATCGAAGTGCAGTGAGCGTTTGCTGCTGCATGAGACACATTTCTGTAATTCATGAAGGCATCATGTATAGGATGCCACCTTGAACTTCCTGCCACTGCAGAAAAGCCTTCTGCTTAATATGTTTATTTCTAGGGTAATGCAATTGCCCTTCTGGAGAACAAGGGGCCTTGGAGAGTTCTCTGTGTTCTGAAAACCAAGGGGAAATTTCCGCTCCAATGACTTCTCATTAGAAGATGATAGAAGAAGAATTCTATTATGAGTAGATCGGGAGTGGTCATCTAAGTTATTCATAATGTGTGATACTAGAAATACTGTTAGGATCTATTTTATTCTTGTTAGTTTTTTTTTTTAAGGAAACCTCTTTTACTGACATAGAATATCATCCTTGTTTGTTTCATCATTGCAATTACCTTTTATTTTCTTTGTGTTTGCTGCTGATTGCCCTCGGAAACCCAAGCCTGTTTGTTTTACCTTGTCTCAAGCTCATCCTCCTTTCTTTTATGATGAGAGGGTCGTTTTGGCCATTGGATGTTTGTCTCATTTCTGCCCCTGGCTCTGTTCTAGCCCTCTGTGCTTGGATATGGGAGCTGGGTCTTCCTCTATTTCCTCTTCCTCTGTCTTTCTGCTTGTCAAATAAGTAAAATACAAATTTTAAAGCATTCATGGAAAATGCACATGATGAAAAACTATGCTTGGGTCTCAGAAGTTTTTTTTTGCCTCCAAATAAACCTAACTCACATGTCTGTGGTGATTTCTTGTGTTTGTTTTATACTGTTTAAATAACGAAACAAAGGGAGGAGGTAAACTATAAATAACAGTGAGGTGATTTGCCAATTTAGACCCTTTCTAGAAAAATATAAACAGTCCAAACTCAAATTAACATAAACAAACAAACAAAACCCAGGACTCCTGGAGCTCAATGATTAAGAACTCCAGTGGGCATCTAGCAATTGATCAAATTCCCTGGGCTTGGGGAACCCTTTCTTAATCCTTACGTTTAACAGCTGGCATAAGAGGGTTGTCTGTACTTTGTTTCTGACAAGTCTTGTGTTTTGTTTTTATCAACACCCTCTCTCTTTTCCTCCCTGCTCCCTGATCCTCAGTGGCCGTGCCTGCAGCAGCACCACCCGTGTGCCAACCCAAGAGCGCCACTAACGGGCACCCTGTGGCTCCCCGTCTCTCCATCTCCTCCCGAGCCACGGTGGTAGCCAGGATGGAAGGCGCCTCCCAGGGAGGCCTGCAGACCGTCATGAAGTGGAAGACAGTGGTCGCCATCTTTGTGGTCGTAGTGGTCTACCTCGTCACGGGCGGGCTCGTCTTTCGGGCCCTGGAGCAGCCCTTTGAGAGTAGCCAGAAGAACACCATTGCCTTGGAGAAGGCAGAATTCCTGCGGGATCACATCTGTGTGAGCCCCCAGGAGCTGGAGACGTTGATTCAGGTGAGCAGGGGCTGGTCAGGCACAGACCAAGTTGTGGGGAGGGAGGACGGCATGGAATCCGTCCTGGACCACTAAGTTTTACCGTTAGTTGACCTTCTTCCAGTGGACAAGGGAGTCTTCTTGGGGGAGGAGACATTTGAACTGAGACCTCAGGGAAGAGCAAGAAACACGTGACAGAGGCTGGTGGCCCTGACATAGGAGCAGCAGGTTATGCTCTGTCTTATCTGGTTTTGGATGTGGAGGCCACAGGCAACAGCAGGCAGATGGGCTTTGGATTTCAAATTCAAGTGCACCTATGTGTGCTTATTTACTTCTGGATGCTGAACTCGTCTTGGGAATGCTGGGCTAAGAAGGTGTCCTAAAAGCCAAGGAAGGAAGAAATTTTAAACAAACCATGATGGACTAACCTGTTCAACACCACTGAGTGTAAGGTAGAGAAAAGGCCTCTGAGTGTATGGATAGAGAGGCTGAAGGGGACATGGAAGAGCCATTCTGGTAAGATTATGAGACTGGAATAATAATATCACATTAGTAGCTTTCATTCAATTTGTGATTTTGGACCTCTTAGTGTATGTCTTGTCTTGTGCTAAGATGTTGATATTCTGTGCATATCAAGGAAAATGGAGCCATGAACACAGTAGTGCAAAGAAGTTGGGTTGTACGCTAAAGAAGCAAGGCAGCTGTTGTGGAGGCGATCTCTCATTAATTCACTCATCCATTCGTCTGTCCATTCATTGATGCACTGAGTCTTTGCATTGCTGTATCCCAGGCACTGGAGACAGAAAAGATGGGAATAGGATACACCTCCACTAACTTCTCTCCAGCTTATTGATTTATTTTTAAGATTTATTTATTTTTATTGGAAAGAGACTTACAGAGAGAAGGAGAGCTGGAGAGGAAGAGCTTCCATCCATTGATTCACTCCCCAAGTGGCCACAGGGGCCAGAGCTGAGCTGATCCGAAGCCAGGAGCTTCTTCTGGGTCTCCCATGTGGGTGCGGGGTCCCAGGGCACTAGGTTGTCCTTGATTGCTCTCACAGACCACAAGCAGGGAGCTGGAAGGGAAGTGGAGCAGCTGGAACATGAATTGGTACCCATATGGGATCCTAATGCCAGCAAGGTGAGGATTTAACCTCTGAACCATCACACTGGATCCTGTGCTCCAATTTCAATATCCAATATCCATAAAATGTGGCTGAATTCCCTGCCTGTTGGGTAATGAGAGGATTAAACGTGGTCATTCTGAGAACTTTGAACTGTGCTGGGCATGTGGTAAGTGTTCAGATAAGGAGCTGTGGCTGCTGTGAGTGTTATTCAGGAGTTCGGTTTCAAGCAATGGCTCTTTCTGGAAGGGTGGCCTCCTGGGGGTATCTGACAGTGTCTGGTGACATTTTTGTTGCCAGAAGGGAGAAGATGCTACAGACATGTTGTGAATAGGAGGCAGGACTCTGTAGAGCATTCTACAGTGCGCAGTACAGCTCCTGGTTACTACCGATTATCTGCTCCAATCTGTCATTAGGCTGAGAAGCCCTGGAGAAGGAGGCAAGTGAGACTGACTGGCTTCCACTGCACTAGACCTTTTGGAATATGTGAAAAAATGGAAACTGGGTGAGACAGAAGTCAGAAAATACTTAGTGGTTATTTATCTCCTTCAGTCTCCAAAGCTATTCCATGAGGGTAGTCTTTTTATTTATTTATTTATTTGTTTGTTTGTTTACTTAATTTGAGGACAAAGAGGGAAAGAAAGATAGACTGAGCTCATCTGTTGGTTCATTCATTGGGCCGTCCTCGACTGCTCTTCTAGGCCACAAGCAGGGAACTGGAAGGGAAGTGGAGCAGCTGGAATATGAACTGGCACCCATACAGGATCCAATTGCTGAGATGGCTGGAGTTGGGCATAGGCTCGAGCCAGGAGCCAGGAACCTCAGTCTGAGTCTCCCCCAGTATGGGTGGCAGAGACCGTTACTTGTCCCATCACCTGATGCCGCTCATGGTGTGCATCAGCTGGAAGCTCGAATCAGCAGCTGGAGCTGATAATTGAACACAGGGATTCTGATGTCAGACACGTGCACCCGCACTTTCCCCTGAGGATAGTCGTTGGTACCCATTTACAGATGACAAAGTGAGGCAGGAGGAGGTGAAGTTAGATGCTCAGGGTCACTTGGTTGGAAAGCAGAAGATTCAGGGTTTGCTGTCAGTAAGCCTACACATGTATCCTAGGCTCTGAACTAGCACCCGTTCCATCAGACATGCCAAATACAAAATAAGTGTCGTTGGGCAGGCTGTACTTGAAGACCACCCCAACAGTTTATGTGCAGCCACTCCAGGAACCTGAAATGTTATCAGTGTGGCTCCCATTGAGAAGGGTGGGAAGAGTGGTAGGAAGTGAGCCTGGGGAAAAGGAGTAGAGGAGAGATTTGATGCTAAGAATTTTGGCTGCATGTGGTGGGGACTGTAAGATTTCAGCAAGGTAGTGACAGGATGGAAAATTTCTACTGGAAAAAATAAATCTTTTGGTCATCAGGAAATTGAGTTAGAAGGACACACTGGAAGAAGGAAAATCAGTTGGAAAAATAATATTGCCACATCATAGATCAGAGATGCTGAGAGACAGAGAAAAGGCTGCAATTAAGGGTTGACAAAAAATTCTTGAAAATGATTCACCTTGTTAAGGAAAGGTCTTTGCAGTGCCTGTTATGAGCTCCAGATCCCTGCTTGTTCAGGCAAAGCCCAGGTAGGCCATGCGTAGTGGTAGCTAAGCACCCAGGCTGGAGTTAATCCTCCCTGTTAAATCCTTTACCACCTGGGCCAGTACCATGTCTGCACCTGGCCTCAACTTCCCTTCTGTGAAAGGGAAATTGTGTCCACCTGGTAGGATGGTCTGAGATGCAAACAAAGAGCTCAGTAGCTTTTAGCATGATTACTGCTACTCCTTTGTTAGGGCAAGAAAAAGAAAAAAGAAACCCTCCCAGGGGCTCCTACATTATAAGCATTGTGGAGTTCTGCCAAGGGAGAGAAAAGAGGCTTCTGAAATATGCTTCAAATACAACATTTTCTCACTGACAAACTGTGCTGTTCAAATGCAGCGTGTCCTGCAAGGAAGTCCTTCTCCCAGTGCTGACTGGACCAAGTAAATCAAGATGCATGGTCTTTGTGGCTTGAATCCAGGGAGGCAGCACAGTAATTTCCTATCCCAATCGAGGTTTATCCTTATCCCAGCCTTTGCTGGTGGGACTCAGCATCATGCTTATCAAGTAGACGGCTGATTTGGAGACACAATTTTGGTGAACCTTAGGGACACTGTGGGCTCAAGCAGAACTGAGCAGCAAATTGTCTGACAGAGTGAACCTTGATTCCAAGGTGTGGACCAGCAAGAGGGCTTGTACCCCCAAAGCTGGACCTCTAGTTCTCTTACTTTGAACAACATGTATGTGTCATATATAGAAATGGTGAGGCCCCTTATCAAGAACCTGTGTGAAAATTGCACCAGGATGAGGTTGGTATCCTAGAGCAAGCCACTTAACCTGAGCTAGGGTTCAGCAGTTCAGGCCATGGAGGATGACAGAGACACATTCATCTGTGAACCTTTACCCCTGAGACGGGAGGGAATGTGCAGAAGATGACAGCGTGGACTCTCCATGCAGCGCATGTGTAAAAATGCAAGTTTGCTACCACATATTGGTTGCTGCCTTTCCTTTAGGCACTATTTGAAGTGTTTCAATCCTTTAATTCTTTTAACAACAAGTTTGCAAGGTACGTTCCATCATTATTCCACTTTCTCAATGAGCAAATAACTTTGAAGATGTTAAGAATTGTGTCAAAGGCCACAAAATCAGTAGGTGATTAGACTGGACTTGAGGTAGGGGAAAGTCAGACTCCCACTCATCTGATTGAGAAATGCTATTTTCTTTCCCCATTCATCTTTCTTCTTTAAAGTGAAGTTCAGAGCATGTGAGTGAATAGATAAACACACATGAAATGCTTGCATTTCTTTGGCAGTGGACCAAAGTGCTGTTGAAATACTTTAGTCCCCATGAACTGGATTTGACACTCACTGTGTCTCAAGAACTTCTCTATCCTTGCTGCTGTCCCTCTTGCTCTCGCTTGTCCTGCTGTCCCAGTACAATCGTCTTTGATGCTTCTGTACTGAGAAGTCTCAAGGGAAGCCATAGGCAAGCTCACAAAATGACCGTTTGTGGGAGGTTTCAGGGACAACCTTACACATATTACTTGACACCATTCAAGCCGACTGTGTGGCTTGCATGCTAAGTATTTCATCTGGCTTGCTGAACCTCATTTGACACCCTGTATTATACCAGGAGACAGCCACTGTTATTGCAAACAATATTGCCAATGCTGTCATTTACAACTAGCCGGTGGCAAAGGGGGAACTTGAACTTTGATCTCTTAATTAAATACTTTCTTGGCTAAAGAGCATGTGTACTGATTCAAGAAAATTTTTCCTGACTAAGAGGGAAATCTACTCAAAGGGCCGGATAGGGAAGCTTCTTCCTGGCCATGACCCATGGAGGTTACGAGTACCTTTTCAGGGTATATCCCTCATGTGTGGCACAGTTGCTTAAGGTTGGAGAAATGAAGAAATGGTGCTTTTGCACCTGTTTTGAAGGCCAAGATCCTTCAGTTAGAATAGTTAAGGTGAGAACACAGAAATTTCTCTTGTTTCTGAGGAATACAAGTCCTTTCTTTTTGGTCTGGTTGTCAGTGGCTTGTCTGCCACACAATGATTCTGTCTTCTTCATGCATAAACACATTCCCTTGGTATTTATAACCTCCAAGGCTTTGCATGTTTGGGGGTGTAAAGATTTTAGCAAAAGTAGTCCATCAAAAAGTATGACAATTGAGGTTCGTTTCAGGCAACAGGTGATCTCTGGTGAGGGCAGCGTTAGGTTTTCAGCGGACAAGGACACAGCTCTGCGGAGGTGAAATAATGACTCCTGCCTGGCTTTCGCTGTGAGGCCAGAGACACTGCCCCTCGTCTGC